AGATTAGCCACATATAATAATAATGGACAAAATTAATAATAGTTTCTCCTTAAAAAGTTGATGGAGAGAGAGGGAGGGAGGGAGGGAGGGAGGGAGAGAGAGAGAGAGAGAGAGAGAGAGAGAGAGAGAGAGAGCGAGCTTAGTTGGGAAAAATATGTGGTAAGAACAATGTTATTCATATATATTAAGGCTAGAGTCCCATACATATAAACTAAGCCTCATTGAACTTCAATCAATCAAAATAGAGCTGGAAGAGACCTTGGAGGTCTTCCAATCGAACCCCCTGCTCAAGCAGGAGACCCTAATCTGTACTTGTACCTTTGGTTTTTCCTGCCCAGGTGTAAAACCTTGCATTTCTCCACATTAAATTTCATTTTGTTGGATAGAGCCCATTGTTCAAGTCTGTCAAGATCTTTTTGGATCCTGAGCATGTCTTCTGGGGTGTTGGCCATTCCCGCCACTTTAGTGTCTCTGCAAGTTTGATGAGTTCCCCTTCTATTCCCTTGTCTAAGTCATTTATGAAGATATTGAAGAGTACTGGGCTTAAGACGGAACCTTGTGGTACCCCACTGCTTCCTTTCTTCTATGTAGATGTAGTACCGTTAAGAACTACATTGAGTCCCTAGTAGGATTTACTTCCCTAGATTGCATTTGGAGCTTCTGCTGAACCCTAGAACTTCTCTGAGAGTTGCCCTCATTAGGCTGCTGCACTGTATTGTCTCCATCTTGCTTTAAAGTCAGCACCTTGGAACCTAATGTGTGCCTGTTAAGGTGTTTAATGTACATTACAACTTGAAATTAACTCCTCTGGATTTTATGGAGATACACTAATATGTATCCATGTGATTCCATCTTTGCTTGACGGGGGAAATTGGTTGGTTTTGATACAAAGGGCATATTTGTACTGATTACAGATGACTTGGGTGCTGAGATTTCCATATAGAAAAGTACTTTGTCTTTTGATACTCTAGACATGGATACCATCTTAAAGTAGGAAGGCTGAAGCCATGGCACTACAGTTTTAGGAATTAAATGGGATGTCCAGCTGAGGAAGTATGCACGGGAGTTCCATTTCAGTGGCATCTGTAAGGCGAAGCTCTCATTTGGAAATGAAACAGCCCATAAGTTTGTGTTTCTGCAGGGGATGGATGGAAGTTGTCCTGTGGCCTCCCTGGGCATGGTGCCCATCAGTGATGCTCCAAAATTGATAACTTCCAGATTTCTCTGCCAACATAGGAATGTTCTCTCTTCAGTACATTTCATGGAAAGGTTGCTGACTATCATCCATGTTCAATATGCTATTCATGTAAAACATAAGGATAACCTCACTTTGTTTTCTGTTAGACTGATGATACATTGAATTGCAAAGGGAGTAAGTAATGAATGAATCCTTCCTTCCTCTCTCCATTCCTTCCGTCTCCCTCCCTCTGTCTCTCATCTTCCTCCCTCCCTCCATTTCTTCCTTCTCCCTCTCTCATCTTCCTCCCGCCCTTCATTCCTCCCTTCTCTCTCCCTCCCTCTTTCATCTTCCTCCTTCCCTTAATTTCTTCCTTCTTCTCCCCCTCTCCCATCTTTCTTCCTCCCGCCATTCCTTCCTCCCTTACCTCCCTCCTTCCATTTCATCCTTCTCCCTCCCTCCCTCTCTCATCTTCCTCCCTCCTTCCCTCCATTCCTTCCTTCCTTCTTCCCTCTCTCTCTCATCTTCCTTCATCCCTCCATTCCTTCCTACCTTACCTCCCTCCCTCCATTCCTTCCCTCCCTCCATTCTTTCCCTCCCTCCCTCTCTCATCTTCCTTCCTCCCTTCCCTTTCTCATTTTTCTCCCCCCCTCCCCTTCTCTCTTCTTTCCCTCAAGTTCTTATCATGCTGGAATGTGACCTTTAGGCCCCTTGAGTTATCATCTGTTTTTCTGAGCGCCCTGCGTCAATCTCTTCCCTTCTCTTTTCTTTTTATCAGAATGGGCTGAACGCTCTCCATCTCGCTTCCAAAGAAGGCCACATAGAAGTCGTGTCAGAGCTGATCCAGAGAGGTGCCAATGTGGATGCAGCAACCAAGGTCTGGAGCTGGTGTCTGAATCTTGCATTGCTTTCTTACTCAGGCCTGCAGAGGGCAACCTGCAGAGGGCAACCAAAGGAAGAAAAAGGCCTTAAGCCTTCAGCCGAGAGAGGGGGTGGGGGGAGGTGCAGAGGAAAGGGAAGGTAGAAGGTAGAAGCTAGAAGGTACAGATTGTAATGTCTGTGATTATAAAGAGCTAGATTGATAAAATACCACCGTTCTCTTAACATGCTTTACTGAAGAGCCACAGCTGCACAGTGGTTCCATGACCCGTCAAATGCGCGCCTGACAAAAGTGCGCCGACAAAACCGTGGCGAGAAAACCGCGAGGTCGAAAGTGCTCCCACAAAAGAGCGCCAACAAAACTGCGCCCACAAAAGCGCGATTAGGGTTAAGGTAAGGTTAGGTTTAGGGTTAGGGTTAGGATTAGGATTAGGGTTATTACGTTGTTATTACGTTGTTATTACGTTGTTTTCGTGTTGTTTCTTGATGGCACGCTTTCGTCAGCACGCATTTGTTGGCGCGCTTCTGTGGGCGTGATTTCGACCTTGCAGTTTTCTCGCCACGGTTTTGTCGGCGCGCTTTTGACGGTGAACCCAGTGGTTCGCCATTCCTACAATCAGTGCCATACAATCCCCTAAACCCAAAGGCCACATCCCAGTCAAGGGTTTTCACTTCTCAAAGACCTTGAACTGGGCTGTCACTAGGCCTGGAAAAGGCTTCGTAATGACAGCTGTGACGGTGGCCAGCGCCAACGTGTTCAAGAGCAGCAATTCAATGTTTACAACATCTGGATTGCCAAGAGCTTATTATCAAGAAGGAGGGGAGATGAATTTGGCCATCAAATGTCAGAGTCAGCCCCACTAAGTCTCCAGTCGGGCAGTTTTTAACATTTTACACACTCCTAAACATCCAGAGCTTCCCTGTTGCTCGATTGTTCCATAGTAAGTGACTCTCCAGAATTTGGCTGTGTTTGTGCAGAGTCGCCATTTTCATTCTCCTTCAAGGTCTCTGAGGAAGGGCTGGCACAGTTCTCCTGCAGCAACAGCAGCAGCACACCTGCAGACCTGGGCCTGGAAACTCCAGGGCTGATGGAGGGCAGCAGGAGAGGCAGAGCTAATAGCTCACACTAGAAGGAAGACAGGACGGGTGCAGCGCAGAGTGGCAATATCAGAATGAAAAAAATGGGAAATTAAATCTTGCAAATCTGAGATTTTTGCCATTTATTCGTATTATTCTGGAGCATACGCTAGCATTACAAAGTGAGATGCAACATTCTTATCCTTTGGTTTTATTTTTTCATTTACAGATAAATGGCAAAGATCTCAGTTTTGCAAGACTGCTAAGATGAAAAGGAATGCAGAGGTTTTCCTTTCTAATTTGAATTATCTATGGCTTCCCACAGCCAGAGACAAAAGATTATAAACCTTAACTGTGGCTAAAAGAAATGCAGCAGCCCCAATAAACTCTGGCAGTCTAATCACTTCTCCCTTGGTATGGAAGAACCATCCTTTTCCCAAAGCCCTGGCATCCTTGGGCAAAAGAGGTCACGTCTGTTGTACAAGGGCCTGTGTCATTTCCCTTGTAGCATTTTGCCATGGTACAGATGCTGCCGTTTGCCCACTAAGGGTGCCCATGGGGCGCATCTGCTGGGCCCTTTTCAGGCCACAGGTCATGTTGATTCCCACAGTCCACTGAAGCTATGAGTTTGTATCCTGGGGATTAGCTGCATGGGAACCCAAATTATCTAGTGAATTCTTTTTCGCAGTGTGTCTCCTCCTGAAGCTCAATGAATGATTGGAGCAGAGGAGCTCATTCCTGGGTGCCTAAATCTCCAGTGGGTCTGATCCCAAAGCCATCCAGTTATGGGCAGAATCCCTGAAGGGGTCATCTGGGGACTGCTGAGCTGTAAACAGGCGCATTGTTGTTTCCCTGCTGCCCCTGTAGTTGGAGGGCCTGGCGCAATTTTTCACATGCCATTCTCATCTCTCCTTACAGAAAGGAAACACAGCTTTACACATTGCATCCTTGGCTGGGCAGACCGAGGTGGTGAAGGTGCTGGTTACGAATGGGGCCAACGTCAATGCACAGTCGCAGGTGAAGTCATATTTATTTGAACCCTGTTCTGCTGGCGGGGGGGGGGTTCTGGGGGGGATGACAGTGGGAGGGGACTTTACCTTCTCTACCTTTCTTACCAAAGCCCTTTAACCTCTTGGCTTTCCTCTTGTTGCTTCCCTGGAATTAACATTGGAAGCCTTTGGGCAAAACATATTTGCATCGAATTGTGAATGTAAACCAATCTTTTCAGTTACTGTTTCCTTCCTCCCTATTAGAAGGATAAAAATATCCCCAACTCAGGGGAAATCAGCATCCAGTATATATCTGAATATGGGAAGGAGGATATCGGGAGGACATAGTGGGGCTTCCAGTGCTTTGGGTTTAATTCCAAAAAGGGGCTTTGGCATATTCAGGAGTTCAGGCATGCCACCTTTCAAACAGTTGGCTCTTCTCCTGTGATGAGCTGCCAGCTGCAAGAGGACAGCCATGCAATGTCAGAAAAAGACGCAGCTGATTTAAAGGGTGACAAATAGGTGCCACTTTCTGGAACTGAGTTTGAAGTAGGCCTGGAAGCATCATCCATTTAAACTTCCATTAAAGTTTATTGTTTCATGCCCTGTCAGTTCATCTACTGTATACCAGGGATGGCGAACCTTTTCGGCACTGAGTGCCCAAACCGGAACACATGTGCACCGCAGCCCCAGAAACTCAAAAACCAACCGTGCGCACCGGCCACCTGGGGGTTGGGTTTCCAGCATGGGCATGTGCACTAGCTAGCTGGTCTTTGCAGGTGCCGGAGTGCCAGAAACCCAAAGACCAGCTGGCCGGTGCATGCGTGCGCCGGCCATCTGGTCTTCAGGTTTCCGGCACTCCGGCACCTGCAAAGACCAGCTGGCCGGTGCGCATGTGCATGCTGGAAAACAGAAGAGCAGCTGGCGACAACATGTGTGCCCACAGAGAGGGCTCTGCGTGCCGCTTCTGGACACGTGCCATAGGTTCGCCATCATGGATCTATACTTTGGCCCAATGTAGAAGGTAATTCACAAAACAAATCGTCCTTAACATTTAGTCAAACTATTTAAACATCAAAAGACCAAACGGTAACGAGACTCTAGATAAAGTTCCCGTAAGAGCAGGGTAGTTAAACTGGCTGTGACAAAGGCAGTTAGAACAACAGACAAACTTTGCCCAAATATCAGCTGATCCTGACTCTCATAGAGTCTGTCAAACATGATGGGTGAAAAAGCCATTTAACAAAGAGTTTATTTTCATTGGCGATGAAAGGTGGGATAATTTCTCGCTGTCTTTTTTCATGACCAAGCTTAGGTTGGCCAAAGGACACATTTCTGTCTCATTCTGATTGCTCAAACCAGTGGTGGGATTCAGCCAGTTTGCACCTATTCGGGAGAACCAGTTATTAACTTTCTAAACAGTTCAGAGAACTGAGCACACTACTGCTCGCATGAGCAAACCGGTAGTAAATAAATTCTGGTGTTGTTTCTAGCCTAATCTTTATTGCTCTACTTGTACAACTGCCTCTCCGGTTAACCTTTATTACATTGTAACAGCTAAGGTGAAGTGCCCATCGACTTGAGGAACGTTGAGTTGGCCACGCCCAGACAGTCACATGACCACCAAGCCACGCCTACCTAGTTGGTCATTAGGGCAGAGAACCGGTTGCTAAATTATTTGAATCCCACCATTGGCTCAAACTGATTCCTCCGTTTGCAGTTGTGTTCAGCTTCATCAGCTGCCATCCAGTTAAGGAGGAAAAGCTCAGCACTTCCTGTCCATCTCATTCACTGGAGACCAGTGAAGTTCTTCGGATGTTGTTGGAGTTGGGGCAGCTGTTGCCTTGCCATTCTGTTGCTCTTGAGCAAACAGAGGACTCTCAAGGAAAATATAGTCTGGACCAAATATTTGCAGCCCAGAAAAAAGGGGCTGAAGATCTCCTTCACACCTCTCCTCCCTTGTCTGGAGTCTCTCCGAGTCACATTGTTTACTTCTCTGCTCCACTATTTCTCCCATTACAATTTTCAGCTAAGACCCACCAAGGATCTGAATGTGTCTTATGGCTTCAGTATTCATGACACACATGACACCTTTGGGATCTGGAGATTGGACATCGGGTTGGGGTAACTGGGGGGGGAGGGTCTTGGGTAAACATTTGATATGTACAAGTTTGTGCTTTTTTTTGCTTCAGATCTTGCTTCACTTTTGCTGTTTTCATTTCATGTCCAGTAAAAGTACCTTTTCTCTAATTAAATGGAAAAGCATTGAAAAACACATTTCCAAAAAATTGGCTCGGTCCTCAGTGTGAACTTGGCATTGGTTACCCACCTCAGCCTTCTACAACCCTGTGCCTTCAAGATTCTGAAAAATTTCAATGCTTTTTTCTTGTTTCCCCCTCTAGAATGGCTTCACACCACTGTACATGGCAGCCCAAGAAAATCACTTGGAAGTGGTTAAGTTTCTTCTTGATCATGGAGCTAGTCAGAGCCTCGCCACTGAGGTAAATGCTTATATATATAAAATAAATGAAGATGATTAGAGGTGAGCCAAGGTCAGATTTGTCTTGTAAGTACTATTCCAAGAGTTGTTCTTAAAAAAAAAAAAAAGAGCCATAGGCGGCTGGTACCCACACAATCTTGCACATTGTTTTTTTTTGGAAAAGTTTTATTGTTTTAATTAAACAAAAACACACAAAAAAGAATCATCTTTCGTTACATCTTGTAGAAAGCGTGTCGATTGGTTACAAATACATTTTGTGCGTTTCTTCCACAATCATTACATATAATGTAATATATGGAAGGAAGAAGTACTGTAATGGAAGGAAGGAAGGAGTAATGGAAGGAAGGAA